ACATCATTACTAGTACACACTGGCTCTCATCCACAATCTCTACTAATACTCTTACACCATTGTCATCAAACCAATAAAGGCCATTCCTCCAAAATGTACAGTAACGATTTAACTTGTCATCTTCTTGAGGTAGAGCCATTTTGTAAGCAAGACGTAATGAGAGGACATGGAAGTATCGAGGAGGAAAGAAATGATGTTTACTAGTACACTGTAGACACCAACCAAACTGGTACACTTGATTAGTCATCTCATCAGGTCTATCAGTAGACAAAAGACATGGAAAGAACAACAACCTTTCTCCTCTTCTTTCTGTCCCTCCCTCCTCCTCTTCCACTGCTAACTGAAGGAGGTTTGTCATCTTTAGGAAAGATGGATTCATTTCTTGACAGAGTTCCATGTTCTTCAGAAAACGAATCAACATGTCAGGATCATATTTAGGGAAGTGTCTAGTAAGACCAGACACACTAACAATACCAGTATTGCTAGCAATGTCAACATGTTCTTTGAATATCTCTGGAGCAAAGAGAATCCCATTCACCTCAGTTAGTAGCATACCCTTATTCACAACAACCCATACCTTGTCTTCACTTTTAAGAACACTGATCAAACCAGTTGAGTGCAACGAATGAAGAACATCCAAGACATCTTCTCCCTTATCTGGTATAAAGTAATAATCATTGTCCTTACCAGCAGACATTACATCAGAGAGGGTCAGTATATTCTCTTTCCTTTCCTCCAGTAGACCATACATCATGTGACAATAAAGACTCAAATTCCTTCCACTTGTACTACGGATGGACTCACAGTCACTAGACAACTTACTTAAGAAGGAATCCACACCACTCCCACCAAGCTTACGACAATCTAAGAAAACATTATCACACCTTTCCCTTACAATAATCTCCTGTATTTCCTCCTTTCTCCTTCTCCTTTCAACAGGATTACTTATCTCATCCACATGACTGACTATTAGAATAACATGGCATTGATTAAGAGCTTTGTGTGCTTCATTTCTGACAACTGTTAGCCACTGATGAAGCTGTTTGACTGGTTCCTTGTCCAATATATTGACTACTATGAGGAACACACCACCAGAACCTTGTAAGAGATTCTCAATGACAGCACTGTGACTGGAGTAGTATTCAGAATGACCAGCAAAATCATGAAGAATGATGTTACCCAGTGTCCTGTGTTGTAGTTTATAAGGAATGATACCAGCAGTCCAGGGCACTACCCCTCCAACATTTCTAAAGGAACCAAGAACAATAGAACCAGTAGCTGTGTCATTGATGACATGACTAAGAGTACTTTTACCAGCTCCAGGATTACCCACAAGGAGGACGTTAACATAAGAATCAATTGGATGAGATGATTTAATGCCACCAAACTTCTTCAAGACAGAAAGAGTATCAGTGTGACCATTCCCCTTAGCTAGTTTAAATGGTGTTTTCCCCCTATGGTCTTTAGCCAATGGATCACATTTACCAGTTGATATTAAATATTCAGCAGCTGCCGAACTACCACAACGAGCAGCCCAGTGAAGAGGTGTCCATCCTATCAATCTACTAACAGCCATTGGATCACAGTGACACTCATCAATGAGATATCTCATCACATCAACATGATTACCTTTTGCAGCCCAATGAAGACAAGTCCTACCCTTATCATCTCTTTCGTGTGGGTCACAGTGATATTTAGTGATTAAATTTTTTGTAACATCTAACCAGCCATTGTATGAAGACAATTGAAGTAAACTAGTACTATCCCGTATGCCATATCTTCTTTTAAGTTTATTTGGTTCCTCCACTAATGGTAGTAAGCGAACAGCTTCTTCATGATCTCTATCCCTAAACGCAGTCCAACACTTGTCCTCTGACGACATCTTGTGATCAGTTAATTAAATTCATTAATACCTGCCCACACATCAGCCCACATACCATAACTGAGAGAGAGGGAGAGAAGGCTTACCAAGAATTGGCTGTAAAATAATTTATCAATTTATATATCAATGACCTTTTGATAGTTCTTGAACTGATTTTGATCACACATGTAATAATACCGTATAGCGGGATATTTTCGTGGGGTCAAATTTTTGTGATTTGGGGTGGTTGAGATTTTCGTGGGTTAAATTTTCGTGATAACTGTATTATAAGAGCCTATGGCAAAGCCTGGTGAGCTTTCTCTACCTCTCTATCAACAGCTTTAATCGTTTTTGAGGGTAAGCTAAATGTACTCTCATCAATGGAAGCTTTTTTGGAAGCGGTTTGAAGCCGTATTTCTCTATTTCATTGCACGTGGAGCAATATACTGCAACAGGACACGCCTATACCGAATATGTGCTAAATTTTTGTGCGTTAAATTTTTGTGAAAGTGTCTTGGACACGAAAAACACGAAAATAAGACTCCACAAAAATATCCCACTATACGGTAGTATTTATCATACAGCTGGAATATGACAAGGAATTAATATTGGCAGATCAGCAGTTGTAGTTAGCATTCACTAATATAAAATCTGCTCCATTTTGCTATATTCTTCACATGCTCAATGACTCATGGCTGCTAATTCCTAAATCACCATTATATAAATCCACCTATAGGGCCTGTACTTAACTGCTCTCATATACATATCACAATAATAATAATAAAATCTCCTCAAAATCTCATACTACACTCCACCTTACTATTGCTTTATATGAGGACTGCATCTGTACTACTGTATAGCTTGAAAATTTTGGAGTGTCAAAATTTGGTGAATGGACTCTAAATGAGGTTTAGTTTCAAAATTTCGGCAAAATTTTAACTATGTGCATGTTGCTGCAGAGCCCTATCAAATTCGAGATTAAAATTTTGATGAATTGACCTCAATTCACCAAATTCACCAAAATTTTAGTTCATCAAATTTATAGCTATACAGTAATAATATTAATAATATTAATGTTTTTTGTTTGCTTTTTGTATCTTTCTGCCACCATTTGATAATAGTAATAATAACAATAATAATAAAACACTGTACTCTCAGTCAAGACATACTGTACATAGTGTCATTCTTCCTTAGGAATAGAGGTAAATGAATCTATTTATAGTAACACTGATACTATCAAGAGTAGATAATAATTAGAGAGTGTCGTACTGGCTATATGGCCTGCTTCATTACTGCATAGATTAAAGATTCACATTCTGGTTATTTCCTTAATTTATTCAAGCAGTCATAGTTATTGCTTGTTATTTTCAAATAACTACTTAAAAATATGGAAATATCCGGAATGTGACTCTTCAATTCTATGCAGTGATGAAGCAGGGGGTATATTGCCAGTAGGACACTCTCCTCTAATTATTATCTACTCTTGATACTATTTATAGTAGTGGTAGCTGATACTATTTATAGACCACCCGCGCATTAGGTAACACTTCTTTGAAGCCGGCAAAACATTGGGTTACACATGGTCAGGCACACCCACTGGTTGGCAAAAGCAAAATGACTGCATCAGATGTATGCATTTTATGTCTTTGTTGGAGGATGCCAGAAAGCAGCTACGTTGCAAAGCTGGAATCTGTTAGTTAGATGATCAATGATGGCCCTTATTTGCCTGAAAAAACAACGTCCAATTTACATCAGGGATGAGAA